TATTTTACTAAGTTTAATAGTAAAATTCACCTGTTACTAAACTTACTTTGTAAAAGCTATCTTTGAAATTTTTTAGTACAATTACTAATAAATTTCTTAATTAAAACTTTAGAATAACTTTATTTTAATATATCATTGTAAAAATTAAAAAAAATTTATATTCAATTTGATTTGATTCAATTTGATTCAACTTGATCAAATTCAAATCAATTCAAATTGATTCGATCAAATATTTTAGTTCAATTTAATTCAATTTGATTCAACTTGAAAAAATCAAATCAAATTCAAATTGCTTAAATATTTGATTCAATTCAATTTTGAGAAACCCTAACTATTACTACCTATAAAGTAGTTAATATATTAGGAATCAGTCAATTTAATAGTAATTCAGCATTTTGTGATAAATAACTATTAAGTATATGTTAATAAAAAATCATTATAAATTAATAAATCACTAAAATTCATTTAAAATATATAAATTGATAATTAATAAAAATACTTAAAGAAACTGTTAAGATTATTATAGATAAGTTTTTAATAAATCTATTTTTAATTCTATTAATCTTTATTCTGGATATGATTTGAACTATATAAATAATTATAAAGTAAAATGTGATTCTTACTATTATAATCAGTTTGCAAAATAATTAAATAATAATTTATTTATTATTAGCTCTCATAAAGTATTATAATAATTGCAAATTTATATAATAAATACTTTACAGTTTTTTTCTAAGAAAAAATATAGCATATTTATTATGTATACTATTTTTTATATTATTTGAACAAGAAGTATTCAAGTCATATTATATTAATAATAAATTAAGAGATTATTTTATTTATTCTAAACATATTATTTATAAAAGTCAAATGGCTATTTGCTTTGATTAATACAAATTGATAAAGATTAAAAAAGTAAAGCTAAAAAAAGAATATTTTAATAGATGATACAAGTAGGATTATAAAATTAAGTCTAAAAAACTTGATGAAAAATTATTAAGATTGCTTATATTTCAAGACTAAGATATAAAGAAAGAGAAAAACTTAATATTTTTTTGATTAACTATATTATTTATATAACCTATTTAATTTTTACACTATTCTGACTTTCAATTTATATGTAGGTTTATATAAGATAAATATAATATTATAATCTGCCTAATCTGAATTAGACACTTTTTTAAAGTAACTAATCTAATTATTTTAATAATATTTTTCAAAGAGTTCAAGAACTATAATATTGAAATCATAGGAATTCTTAACTCCTAAATACTATTATAATTATAATTTTGAAAATTTTTTTATAACAACTATTTAGCAAATTTATAGAAATTATAAAAAAAGATCTAAATCATTAGCAAAATGAGTTTAAGAAATAATAAAAAATGATGGTATTCTTGATAATAAAAATATATTTAGGTAGCAAATTAGGTAAAATAATATGAAGACTATAAAACTTTTATAGTTCTTAAGAATGACTAATTAAGAAAATGATTAGGAATTATTACAAATATTCTTTTTAAAATTATTATATTAATAAGGCTATGTAATTAATAGAATTTCAGATTAAACCAACATATTAAAATAGCTATAAAATTTCAAATATTACTGCATTAATTTAGAATATAACTTTAAAAATATTGTTAAAATTTTAGAATATGAAAAATATAAGGTAAATCATTAAACATACAATGTTTATATTATTTATAGACATTAAAATTCCTATACTTTATTTATAAAAAAAATAATATTATAAATTTCTTAGATTTAGATAATAATTATTAGTTAATGTTCAAATTGGTTTTTAATCAAATTTCTTTTCTTAAAATATAACTTTTATAAAAAAAAAAGTTATTAATTTTAGTAAAAAGTTTTTAGAATTAAAGCAAAAAAAAAATATTAGAAAACTTTTATCTTGAAAAAAATTATTTTTGAGAAAGTATTATCTTAATAAAATTTAATAAATGCTTTTAACAAAATAATAAAATTTTCTCATTATAATATATGTAATTTTCTGATCTAATTTGTATAGATCACTTAATAAAATGTATCATTTATATATAAATTAACTGATTAAATATTGTTCTTGAATTAATCACAATCTTTTAATACCTATATTGTAAATATAAATATATGGGAGGCAGTCAGTAGAAAAGGGGAAATCCAAAATTTTAGTTAATTTTAATTATTAAGCTAATTTTGTGCACATGACCAAGATCAGCCAAGTGGTCTAATAATATAAATTTTGACCAAAATTTGGATTTCCCCCTTTTCTACTGACTGCCTCCCATATATAAGAATATACTTACTTTAATGTAGTAATGACATCTGATTATGATTAAGGCTAATATTTAGCTATTAATTAATTTAGCTAATTGATCAAAAATAATCAGTTAATAGCTAAAATAATCAAATGTCATATGATTTTTTATATATATAAAATTAAAAAATTAAAAATACATGATCTTAATTAATAGCATTTCATTTCTTATAAAATAACTATTATTTAATTCCTTATAACTAGATAGATTTAATATGCTAAATTTCATTAATTTTTAAATTATCAAATTTTAAGATAATTGCAATCGTATTTCAAAATTCAGACTTTTTTATTTTAAGTAAAATTATAATATTAGTTGATAATTTAATTATAATTATCTCATGATTAGCTAATTCAAAATTTTTACTTTTAATACAGATAATGGATAACGAGTGGAAGAACGCAAAGTCGAAATTAGAAAATCTTTTCACTGACAGCAAGATGCGTAGTGCAATCAAAGGTCAACTTCTAGGGATAGATATAAAGAACCGACTTGAATATTTTGAAGGAGATGACGAAGAAATTAAGGCTTCCCTTAATACATTTCTATTTGGTAAAGTTAAAACTTTTTTTGATCTTTATTATGTGATTGTGATACTTGTGACTAAATTTTTTTTCGATAATCTAACCCAATTTAGATGAACATCCAAGTAAGCCTTTGTGTCGTAATGATTGGTCAACTTGAACGTGACTTATAATTTATTAATCTTTTTTTTTTAGCACGAACAAAAATTATTATGAATGAATTTCCCAACGGTATGTATTTAGTTATATTAGACATCCAAGAATTTACGTTGTGACTTATCAACATTTCACTATTCCAATAGGCTTACGATTTATAAAACTGAAATTGTTACTTTATTGTACTAGTTCAGAATGGACCTATCAACCAGCAAGAACGTTATATGAGAAGTTGCGAGATAAGCTCAAAGAACATTATAAAAATTTTTTTCAGGCCAATATCGATAAAACATATATTCCGATATACCTATTCCTTTCAGGTGCTGGCACAGGCAAGTCAAGAAATGCTGAAGAATTTTATAGAACAGCAATTGCATGCCTTTCGGCAGTGTTGTCATGGGACATAGTTAGGACACTGATGGGACACTGATGGGACATTGATGGGACAGATGGGACATTTGGGACTTATATGGGACATAGTTGGGACATATAGTTGGGACATATAGTTGGGACAGCAAATGCTTGGGACATAGGAAATGGACATCACTGCCTTTCGGTAGATGAGGATCTTGAACTGAGAAAGAAAATTGAGGATGCTTTTGTATTCAGCGTTGGATTTAAAAATGAAAATAGCTTGAGATGTGGTGTAGAATAGAGCGTGTACAGAGCTATTAGTATTAGATTACTTAAACAACTACTTCCTGATCAAGATTTAGATCTGATCATTTCTAATTACGAAGCACCATATCTATGGGAGGTTTTTGAATTGGTGTCCAAATACAAAAATTGTGAATTAAAGACATGACAATTTTGTTGATCATTGACGGTCTACAAAACATAATGAAATCGAATAATGATTGGAATGACAAGTCATCCAAATTCTTTATAACTTTGACGAATATACATGACCTTGCCTTACAAAGTGCTTTTGTGATACTATTGTGTACTGCAATAATCACTGATTCAGTTAACAGAGTATTGACAATCACGCATCGTAAACGGGTATATTTGCCGATTGCTTCTCTGGATCCCCCTATCATCATTAAAGACGATATTGTAACTTCTATCTTTCAAACAGATGATTATATCATTAAAATGCTGGTAAATGACTGTGGAGGTCATGGGAGAGCCCTCGAAGTTTTACAGGAAATCTTAAAAGACCGTGATATTCAAAATGTAAACATCAACGATATGATAAATGATTTACACGTTAGGCTTCATGACTGGTACTGTGAGGCACTTATGATGTCACCTAGTGAAGCTAGAACTATAGCACAAGCAACACTTACTCGACATCTTTTGAAATTTGATAAGCATGTTCCTAGCACAAATAAGTATTCTGATCATATTGTACAACCTGAGCTAATTCGTTATGTTCATGAAAGTAATTCCAGTGTGGAATATTTCGATTTACCTTATATATGGATTTGGATCTTGACTAATTCTTCTGATAGTAAGGATCCAGTAATTAGAGACTGGTTGTTCTGCGACTATGAAGATCACAGGTCCAATCAAAATCAGACATGTCTGTCAGGATCACATTTCTGGCAACACTTTGAACATTTTGTTTTTTCTTTTCACACACTAAAATCAAGAAATCTAGGTGATTGTGAATTAATATTAATTTCAAGTATTCACATTGGAGCGCGTTTAAATGGTGATTTCAAATTTAAAAATCATCATTTGGAGTTGAAATGCGCAGTACACCAAGAAGACACAAATTCATCAAACTATGGAAAGGGTAAAAAGGAGATTAAATGTGAAGACAAAATTGTAGATGTATGTGAATGCAAGTATTGTATCATTAATGATGCATCTGCGCCATATGGAGATGCATTTCTTGGTTTAGATGTTGATTTAAAGTCTGGAAAACCGAATGAAGTCCATCAATATAAAAGATGGAAAGTGAATTCTCTCACTGGACAAGATTACCAAGATGAACGTAATAAGTCTGCATTGAGTAAAGACTTTTTTATTTTGTTTACAACTACAAATTGTTCGAATTTCAAACTACCAAAAAATTCTGGAATCGTAGATGCGTCCAATTGGGACAAATATTTCGGTCCATATTCTGGCAAGACACATACTTACGCTAATGTAGGTCCTTTGAATATTAATAAAGCAAGTTGCAGAGATCTCCGGTCAATGTATGGAATTGGTGAAACTCAGGCAGATGAAATCATGGCTAAGAGAGAATTCAAAGACATCGAAGAAGCGAAAAAACAAACAGGTATACCAGAAAGGGTGTTAAAGAGATTCAAATTTTCAGATTGATTGATTTGGAAATACAAAAAGTTGATAAATAGGTTAGGATAATTCATTTAGCGTTGTATTAATTTTATATGCATTTTTACATAAGACTAGAACATTTGCTAATGAGATATTGTAATTACTATAATTTAATATACAAATAAATTATCGGCTTATGGTTGTATTTATTTTCGCATGTATTCAGGTGATCTTGGTTTGTATTTACTTTTAATAAAAATCATGTGACCGCGTGAAAAAAATTCACGAAATTTTATTAATACTGTGCCTGAGATACATGACATTGATTCCCTAAGGAATTTGTTTTTATGCTAGTGTCTATATGATTATTTTCAGCCTCTATTCTAATATGCTTGCTCAAAGATGATTTGTCAACACATGCCCTATCTTTTATACATCATTCTCAATACCTTCTTCACGCCATTATGTAATGCCTGATATTCTTCAGAGTTTTTCTCCAGGGCCTTCTTGTTAATTAAATTCAATGGTAAAGGAGGCTTCACTCGCCTGAGATATTTCACTACTGTATAATAAAAAAATGCTAATCCCTTGCTGTTGTAAAAAAAGACACTTTTATGTGTCAATTGTGTCATGATTCAAATGGGCTGTGAGACTAAATTATAATGGTTAATCGAATAATAATGGTAAAATCTGATTGGCTAATCATCTCGTGGTTTATAGTAACTCGCCAGCTTCTTGAATTCTCCTAGAACTATCGAGAAACCAGCAGGGATTTAGGAAGATCACATGTGATACGATATACAGTACATCATGTCACAAACCAATTTAGCCAAAAGCGCTATGCATATGCATATAAATATAGTCGAGATATAACCCTATATAAATCCCCAATATGCTTAAAATGAATTTGTATTGACTAGTATGTAGTCTCTCTAAATCGGCTACAAATCAATAAAACCACTATACAGTGGCTTCCAAAAGAAACGCAAGTGGCATTGCTTGCCTTTAATTGCCTGTAACTCACTGTGCACGAATGCT